CACGCACACACACACACGCACACGTACACACACACACACACGAACACACACATACACACACACACACACAAGAAGTACATACGCATACACACAACGTGTATGTGTGTGTTTATAAGCACATTTTCATTAGCATTTCCCACCGCTAGAGGGCAAAGGCGTGCAATCAATTCTCCATAACGACCTGCTTCTGTCCGTTGCGCTTCTCATTACAACTCGCGCAGACCACTCATATCCGACCCGCCAACCACCTACCACTTACCACTGACCACTTACGTTACCGACGCCATCGCTCAAGTGGAGAAAGTTGAGCCAAATTGACACTCGGCAACATGGCTTCTTTTCCCGCCATCGCCGCCGCCGCCGCCCCTCGAGCCCTCTGGCGGGACTTTTTGCAACTAATCATGGCGGCAACCGACACTAAACCCGTGTTTCCTTATTAAGTAATTTACTGTTTGATGTTCTTTTCATTTCTTCTTCAGTTTTTTTTTCTGGTGTCCTTTTAATTTCGTGGATAAATATTGTATCTTTGGATATGGGAGATATTTCACGTTTTCCGGTTTGTAATGTCAAAATAAAAAAATAATAATAATAACAAAAATATTAATGATAATGATAAAAATGACAATCATAATAGTAATAACAACTATGTAGATAATATCATTAATAATGATAGTGATAATAATAATGATAATAATAATAATTTTAATGATTATAATAATAATGAGAATAATAAGAAAATGATCAAATATTGATAATAATCATAACAACAATAAAGATAATGAAGAATTATAATAATAAAATATAACAATGATAATAGTTATAATAATGATAATCATAATAGTGTTACATACGATAATACGCATACAGTATATTTGTAATTTCTCCTGATATCATTTTACATAAAGTTATAACTCAAAACAGGGCCAAGGTAAAGTACGTTTTTTTCCTTTTTTTAAGTAGTTTTTTTTTTTTTTTTTTTTTTTTTATAACATCCAATCTGCCCATCTGTCTGCATGTATCTGTGCGTGTACGTGTGTGTGTGCGTGCGCGTGATCATGTGCGTGTGCGTGCGCATGTTGGTGTGCGTGTGCGTGTTTATATTCATGGGCAGGTAGATTGTTTATGTAAAGCACGGATGTTTGATTAGATATTTTAAAATATGGTTTGTGTTCCGTACCCGTTCTGTTCATATAACTTGCGAGACCAGTGCTATCGGAAATCGCCATTATGCCAATTTTAACAAAAATACATACGCAAACACATACACACACACACACACACACACACACACAACACACACACACACCACACACACACACACACAACACACACACACACACACACACACACACAACACACACACGCACAGCACACACACAAAACATACACACGAATAAAGGAACTAGAGAAAAGGTGCAACTATAGAAAAAAAAAAGAAATAACAAAATAAAAGAATAAAAGGCAATAGAACCTGGTAACACTCAACGAAAGCGGGGAAACAAAAGGCAAACAATGACAGGTAATAACATTTTGACGCGAAAATTTCAAAACACCTGAAGGTCACAATGCGCAATTCTCTCGCAAGCGTAGAAGTTGATATTTTGTGGCATTTCCTTTGAGTAAAGTTTGAATTGTATTGTTTTGTTTTTTCTTTCTTTCTTTTTCTTTTCTTTTCTTTTCTTTCGCTCTTCGTTGATTGATTGAGCTCGTATATATAAATTTGGGTACATTTCAAGCAGATACAGATACCTGACAATTAACGTATATATAACGCATAAACAGTTACGTTTGTTTGTGCGTGTGTGATTAGTGCGTGCGTTTGTGCGTGCGTGTGTGTTTAAGAATATGTAATACAAACCTTTCTCCTCCCATGACATAAATCGGAACGTTTGAAAATAGAGTTTTAAGTGACTATAAAACAGACACAGCATAAACAAACAACATCTAAAGACATGTGTGAATATAAATCCTCCTTTTCGCAGAGAAATGGGAAAAAGTCTGAATATTTATGGGTTTTTAAGTTTGTATAATTTGAATGGAGTTGAATAGAAATCCGTTAATTAACCACCGCGCTAAACCGAGAGAGAGAGAAAGAGCGAGAAAGAGAGTGCGAGAGAGTAGAAAAAATACAGAAAAAGAGAGAAAGGGGTGCAAGGGAAGAACACATAAACACAAAAATGTCATTGTTTAAAGACACACACACGCACACACACGTGTGGATGTACATACAAAAAAGAAGAAAGAAAGAAAGAAAAAAAAAAAAAAAAAATATATATATATATATATATATATTATGTATGTATACATATATATATAATATATATATATATAATATATATATATATATATATTATATACATATATATATAATATATTATATAATATATATATATATATATATATATATATATATATACATGTATATATATATATATATATATATATATATATATATATGTATATGTATGTGTGTGTGGTGTGTGTGTGTGTGTGTGTGTGT